CTCTGCTAGTCTATCTTGGTTGAGCCAGGTACTATAATCAGCAGCAAACGACTGAAGGGCATCCTTAAGGTGCGCAATCGTTGAGACATATGCGTTGTGTTTTGGCTCAGCTATTTATATATATGCTGGCCGGTGATGCATTATGGGTAGGTCTATTGTATTATTCTAACGGTTATTGTGTAGGCGGTAACGGTTATGATTCGAATTGTTCTAGGCGTTAGTGAGTGGAAATAATTGTGGATCCGAATGCATTCTTGAAGCTGTCAACGTTGGGTTTTGCCCACTTTCGTATATATATATATATATATATATATATATATATATATATATATATATATATATATGCAAATAGATAGATAGATAGATATTTCCAACGAAAACAAACAAATTATATTGGACACTACATCTTATATAAGAAGAAGAAGAAGAAGAAGAAGAAGGCCTGACGATTGCGTCCAGCATGAAACAGCCTGCCGCCTGTGAGTGTTGACTTCAATGCTCTGTTTATAATAAACAGTATTAAACAACATTTACCGGCCTGAATGTCCGAGAAATTTTCATAGAAAATATTCGTCCTCCGACAGGATTCGAACCTGTATCCTATATCGGAGGACGAATATTTTCTATGACACAATATTGTAAGCATTTCTCTTGCAGTTGACAAGCTGAGAAGATTATATCTGTTGTGCCTCTTCCCGGTCTAAATCCGCATTGTGTCTCAGGGTTGACTCGACGGCAAATCTAACCTGTAAGACAATTAAATAGAAGTTTTGCAAAACGTTTACCTATTACCTCAAGCGGGCTTATCCCCTGATAGTCCCCATATACTGATTTTGACCCTTCGCCAAGGAGATAAACATTACATCAACCCAGTTCTGAGGTACCGGATCCCTTGATCAAACATCTGAAGTCTTACGATGAATCTACAGCAAGTAGAACTTAGACTGGAATGTCATCAACATCTGGTGCTTTCCTACGATTAACTCCTTTTATTTTGGGGGGATCTCTTCCAAACTAGGATGATCCAAAATATCATCGATGATATCCAACTGATGCAAGTTATTGAGGATATATTCGTTAAATACTGGGGTGTGGGGATTATAAAAAAAAAAAGATCCGTAAAATGTTCAGTCCAGCATTTCATTATACGCCCCGGGTCCTTGAAAAGCACAAGCCCGTCCTTTGACTTGTGCGGAACCACAGATGAGGTCTGTGGACCAAAGGTCTGATAAATCGGATGATATAAATATTTGTTGAAGTCCTTCCGCTTTAATATATATATATATATATATATATATATATATATATATATATATATATATATATAGATAACTGACTCGTTTGAAAAAACCCTCGAATTTTTGATTTGCTAATCAAATCAATCTCGAGGGAAAAAAGGTTTTAAAAAAAGAAAGAGCTACAAACATGAACTTCTGCCGACAAAAAAAATCGCACAGATTGCAGGTCTGAAGCCCAAAGAAAACCCCGATACGAGTAACAACTAACTAACAAAAGAGCTCAATACAACCGTAGAGCAGACCTAGATACACCTAGTGAGCCAGACAAACCTACCTAGGTTTCACCTAAACGGATCGTCAGGGAAAGTTTGGCTAACGAGGCAAAGAGAAACACATATTTATAGGTGATAGCTAAAATCATACCACGTGACAAAAAAAAACAAAAAAACAACAGGTTTGTCTGGCTCACTAGGTGTATCTAGGTCTGCTCTACGGTTGTATTGAGCTCTTTTGTTAGTTGTTACTCGTATCGGGGTTTTTTCTTTGGGCTTCAGACCTGCATCTGTGCGATTTTTTTTGTCGGCAGAAGTCCATGTTTGTAGCTTTTTCTTTTTTTAAAACCTTTTTTTCCCTCGAGATTGATTTGATTAGCAAACCAAAAATTCGAGGGTTTTTCGAAATGTATAAAGCTCTAGGTTATCCTATCGAGCACTGTTTAAAATCAACTAATATGGAACGCGTAGACATAGGTTATTCACTTAAAAACATACCCATACCTGACCGTCACTCATACAAGTTATGTTTATTACGAAAAATAGAAAAATTTATAATAAATATGAGGTGGCGTGCATATTTTTGTTTAAATAATAAACCTAATAGAAAAACCAATGAGAGCTATGGATTCAAGACCAATGCCCATCCTCCGTATATTAAGGAACTCAGTAACTTCGAATCGGAGTTAATCGGTATTATCAAAAAATTAAAATATAGAAAAATAAGGAATAATAACGTGCAACAACAAATTGCTAAAAATATAAAAGAAATAAAGGAAGACAAGAATATTTACGTAAAAGCTGATAAATCTAAATTCTTATACAGAATGAGCCCCAATAATTACAAAAAAATACTACATAAGGAGGTAATAAAACATTATATAAAAGCTCCTAATAACATAGAGAATAAAATTAACAATGAGGCTAGCATCCTAATTAATAAATTTGAATTAGGAAATCGAGTTGAAAAAATAAACCTAAACACTTGCTTTATTACCATAAAAGATCATAAAAGTAACTTTATTAATAATCCGGAATATAGACTTATAAACCCTACTAAGACGGAATTAGGCAAAATAAGTAAAATAGTTCTGCAGGACATATGTAAATCCCTTAGAACTTTCCTTAATATTAACCAATGGCAATCTACTAAGGATTGCATTAAATGGTTTGAAAATTACAATAAAAATAAAAAGTGCTCATTTATTAGGTATGATATTAAGGAGTATTATCCGTCTATTTCAGAGAAAACGCTAAACGAAGCCCTTAGCTTAGCTAAAGAATACATCCAAATTTCTGATGATAAAATAAATCTAATTAGACATTGTAGAAATACATTGCTATTTCACGATAATACATTATGGATAAAAAAGAGAATATTAACGGTTTTGACAACCCTATGGGAGCGTTTGATGGGGCAGAGGTGTGCGAGATAGTAGGGTGCCTGCTGCTCCATAGACTTAACGAATATATAGACTTCAATAACCATGGGTTGTACCGCGACGACGGTTTAATCATAGTGGACAATAGTAACCCTCAAAAATGTGACAACATTCGTAAAAAACTGCACTGGTTTTTTAAAAAATTCGGATTTTATCTCGATATAGAAACCAATTTGAAAATTACCAACTATCTAGATATTACGTTAAATTTACAAAATGGCACAATATCCCCCGTATAAAAAAAAGAAAATCAAGAACCCCAGTATTTACACATAAAATCAAATCACCCAGCCCATATTATAAGGCATATTTCTAAAAAATATTGGGTATAGACTTTCTCCTAATTCCTCTAATAGGGACATTTTGAGGCCAACAAAATAAGTTATGAGCAAGCCCTAATTAAGAGTGGACATAAAAATAAATTAGAATATATAGACAACCACAATATTACTCGGAATAAACATAATAGGCAAAGAAAAATTTTGTGGTTTAATCCCCCTTTCAATTTAGCGGTAAAAACTAAAATTGGTAAGATATTTTTTAATTTACTGGAACAACATTTCCCAAAAAAACCTGATTTACATAAAATATTTAACAAAAACAATGTAAAACTTAATTATTGTTGTATGCCGAACGTAGGGACTATTATAAATGGATTGAATAAGAAAAAAACTAGGAATGATCCACGTAGTAATCCTCCTACTTGTAATTGTAGAAACAAAAACATCTGTCCATTACAGGGAAAATGCCAGCAGGAATGCGTGGTGTATCAAGTGAAAATTTACAAAAATACTGAGGATACTAATCCTAAAACATACATAGGTGCTACTCAGGATAAATTTAAAAAAAGATATTATAACCACACGAGTAGTTTTAAGAATGCAAAAATTAAACATAGTACCACGCTATCTACCTACGTATGGAAAACCAAACAAGATAATATAGACCCCATCCTTAAATGGGAAATATTAAAAAAATGCCCAAAATATAAAGCAGGCCATAAATTTTGCAAATTATGTGCTGAGGAGAAATTAGCCATAGCTTTATATGATCAACCCAACCAACTATTAAACTCTAAAACTGAAATTCTCAATGTATGTAGACATAAAAAATCTTGGCTACTAAATTAGACGTTTTCCCGTTATTGACTTTCCACTGAGGTTTTTTTTTTTTTTTTTTAATAAATATTTCCCCCCACTTAGGCTGTTTTTATTTTGTCACGTGGTATGATTTTAGCTATCACCTATAAATATGTGTTTCTCTTTGCCTCGTTAGCCAAACTTTCCCTGACGATCCGTTTAGGTGAAACCTAGGTAGGTTTGTCTGGCTCACTAGGTGTATCTATATATATATATATATATATATATATATACTCTGGTTGTCCAGAAAGTTCTGACTCACTTAGAAAGCGAAGAGAAACAATAAAATTTTATGGAGCAACATGCAACATTAGGTTGCGTTAGGCAGAACGTCTTTATTCTTTTGACTACCAGCCTACGTACGCTGCAGTTGTCTGTTGCTCCTGTGCAGGCTATTACTCTTTGTGTGGGCCCCAACTAACAGAAATGAGTTTGGAAGAAAATGGAATTATAGTTTTGATTCGCTACTGTTACAAGCGAAGACTTTCTACAAGAACTGCCGTGAAGGAAATTTGCAATACTAAATGAGGAACAGTCAGTCGAAGATCGAGGGTGTTACAATCAAGCAAAGTTCCGGCCGAAATATATATATATATATATATATATATATATATATATATATATATATATATATATATTGGTGGCAGCATTGATAGTTGAATCATGCGAAAGGAATCGAACCTGTATCGGAGGACCGATATTTTCTATGAAAATTTCTGGGTCATTCAGGCCGGTAAATGTTGTTAATATTATTTATTATAAACAAAACGTTTACTTAAATATTTGTATCTGTAAAAATAAGTATAAACAATATATATATATATATATATAGATAGATAGATAGATAGATAGATAGATAGATAGATATCGTCAAATTTCAATATATAAGTATTGTAAAATTTCATTATTTTATAGATAGATAGATAGATAGATAGATAGATAGATATCAGTATACTTTAAACTAACCCCGATCTTAGTTTAAAATACATTCATATCCTGCTAAATATTAATAAATACATATAGGATATAAAAGTTCAGGACTCTAGGTATATAATCTCTATAAATATGTTTCTCTGAATATAATGTATAATCATTTAATTCAAATCTCTTTTATTTTAATTTAAATATATGATAATTATATAAAAAGCTCGTGAAAATTTTTTGCTAATTTCAAAATCTTTAAAAATGTTCTCTCTTAATATTATTTACAAATACTTTGTTGAATGAAATATATCAGCATTGAAATTTGACCGTTGACAGAACCAGACGGGATTGTTTCCAATTCACACTGAACTAAATAAACTTTAAGCCCTTCCAACATCCTCACATGACAATGAGGTTAGTATATCAAAATAGGTCAACACTTTCTGCCTTTCCCACTCTCTAAATAAAAAAGCAACATCTCTTGATTTTAACCCGGAATATTTTTTTTTCATTTTATTTGTGATTTGTTTGTAGGTGTTGAAGATTGGGAGCTGCTTATTTTAGAGCTATCATGAAATAAAAATAATTACCTATAGGATTTTAAGTGTTTTGATATTCTTTAAGTAATAATATATGTGTGTGTGTGCTATTTAAAAATTATACGTTATCTTTATAAATTATAGTATAAAAAGTAATGAAATTTCACAATATTTATCGGGGGTCAACTCTCAATCTTCTCATTCCTCGCGTCTCGGGACCCAGACAAACACAAAACTAATAGAACACTTATAATTGCAAATCACCTATGATCTCTACGACAAATGAAATCCCAAATATCTCTTTTTACACACACACACACACACACACACACACACACACATATATATATATATATATATATATATATATATATATGATGAAAAGTTCTGGTCGCCCAGCAGTTGTATTCTGGTACACTGGCATGTTTGGTGTGGCTATATTACATTTATATCTTTGTCAGCCGTTGAACTTTTCAACCGACCACTGTATATATATATATATATATATATATATATATATATATATATATATATATATATATATGTATGTATGTGTGTGTGTGTGTGTATACATACATACATATATGCAGTAGTCTCCTCTATTATTATAACTATTATAATTATTATTAAAATTCTTAGGAGAGTAGTTTGAATGGTTAAGAAAAAATGAAAAAGAAACTGAGTAGAAATTGTGTTTTAAACTAATAAAGCATAATTGTTTTAACAATTCCAAGGAGAATCGAACTCAGAATTATCTAGACAAGATTAGTAAAATTAGTAAAAAATTAAGCAAAGACAATGTACTCAACCCTATCCACTTCCTGCTGATATGATTAATCTGTTGTCTGAATTTCTTCGGTTGTGTGAAATTAGATTCGAAAGTTTGTTTACATTATATTATCTGTCCTATACGTGTACTTTTTTACAAATTATTCTAGACAAAGAAGAATTTTGAAATTAAATGTGAATGTTTGTTTATATTGTGCTATCTGTCCAAAACGTGAAATTATTCTAAACAAAGAACAAAACATCTGTCTTTTGTTAATCCACAAAATTGAAATGTGTTTATGTTAATCGCCCAAGAACAAAATTATATTTACAGAAAAATATCTAGAAAGATTCTAAACAAAGAGGGTGCCATATGTTTTTCACATGGTCTCCTAAATCAAGACGGTTATGTGGAGAAATTATTTATCAATGTCAAATTTGAAGTAGGTGCAACTCCAACCAAGTTATGCCAGCAATACTCTATTCTAGTTAAGTTAGAGCATGGTAGAATATCAGATACTTTCTGATGTGGTGCAAATAAACGACTATTTATTTTTAGCGTTGGGTTGTATATACAAATTCCATTTAAGTTCAGGAATAAGCTCAACAGACGTTTCATGTAAGGAGCCTCGTTGAGAATACAGCCGTTCATCATAAATAGAGAAAACGCAGGGTGATGAAGCGTTACTAGCTTAGTTTTGAAGGTATTGAATGTCACAAACTAATTTAGCGGATAGCTCAACTGGTCATCTAAATATTTGGAGGTGGCCCCATAAACTATGATATCATCTGTGTTCATTTATATTTATTAATGATCTATGAATTGTCTTAGGCAGATCGTTAATATAAAGCAGAGAATCGGACCGAGGAGAGAAAAGAGATCGAATGAGAAAGTTTCAAGAAAAATATGAATGACAAAAAAACACTTCCTAACACAAAGAAAGAAACAGTTGAAGATTTTCAAACATATAATGAGGAAAGAAGGATTTGTAGGGGAGCCATTACTCTATGTAAATAATTATAAACCCCCTAATATTTATATGTACAGAAATACTTGTAAAAAATTGAGAAACAGCAAAACATGGAAACGAATTTTATTTATTTGTGGTTGTTACGTGATGATGAAGATACAGGATACAATGATACTGAGTAAAATTGTGAGTTCCGGGTCAAATGTTGATCAAATATGAATTGGAATGAGACAGAATGATAAGATAAAGAATAACTAAAATGTATACAGTTTTTCTCGTATATTTTTATAAAGATGTGCGTAATGAGTGGGCACATGGAACTAGGATAGTCTACCCCAGTGAGCGAAATAAAGGGTTTAGTTCAACATTCCAACGACCTGAAGAAGGCCGGAGCGTACAACGGCCGAAACGTTGTAATAAATATGGCGACAAAGATGAGGACAATAGTCCGAATAATGTAAATAATAATTTAGTTGGAAAAATACAAGAAGTTTCTGGAATTATGTTACCTTGAATTTTTGTTGAGTACTAAAAGATAAATGTTACTATTATGACATGAAAAAGGAAAAGGAGATGAAATCTTCATTGACGCATGGGTTAATGACCTGTCTGTATGAACTGCTTGTCCAATAGTGAGAATGTCACGTGTTTGTGTGTGTAGAAGAGAAATATAGGATCGATTTTCATTGGTTTAGAATGAGAGAATTAATGATATAATAATTTTATTATACTTATTTTTTTAGAGACACGATAGATTAAAGTCTTTAATACTCGCATGATAAGCAGGGGGAAACAGAATTATGACAAAATTATTATGGCAGAACAAGAAACACTGTTACGAAAGTGATAAAAATAAGAAAGTATTATCAGAACGATAAATGACGGGAAACTGGGGAGTGCAATGATCGTCTACATCCGTGGTTCCCAACCGATTTGGGGCCATGACCCACTTTGGTATTTCTAAAATTCTGATGCTCCTCCTCATCCCGTAATATTTAATTCTTACATGTATGCCAATTACACACGTACGTACATACACACAAAATATTTTTATGCATGCATACTTCTCGAAAGCACCTCTCTGTGGCTTCTCGGTCTCACGTGATTGCTGACCTGAGATGGAACAAATACATTGAGTCAATTGCTTAGTCCACCGCAAGGAAATTTTTCTCCCCGGAATTGATCCTTCAGATCTACAAATCAACAATTCGCCCTTGCATGGAGTATTGCTGCCATATATGGTCTGGAGCCCCTTCTGTTTGCCTCGGGGTTCTTGATAAGCTCCAGAGACGGATATGCAATATAATTGGCCCTGTTCTGACATCTCGCCTACAGTCGCTCTCTCTCACAGATGCGCAATCGCCTCTTTTTTACAATACTTTCATGGTAATTGCTCTGAGATTTCATGAATTCAAGCGCCCTACGAGGTTGGCATCCCGCTCTCACCCTTTCACTGTCGAAAATATTAAATGTAGCCATCTCTTCTACTCCAATAGCTTCATATTTCGCACCTCTCGCCTGTGGAACTCCCTTCCCTATTTCAGTTTCCCTGAGAGCTATAATCTCCAACTATTCAAATGTAATGTCAATCGACATCTTCAGTTGCCTTGACCTATACACTATCCTTCTCCTCATTCTTTCCTCTATCACTCCTATCTGATCTTCCTCCAAATCTTCTGTAACCCCTTGCGTCCTAGTGGCTTCCCGCTTTGCTTGGGGTGAAACGCTTAAAAAAATGTATTAACACGCATTAACATTAACACTCACTCAGACTCGGTAGAAAACAATTCACTGTTTATAATTCATTCTCGAATTGCCTCTTTATTCTGTTGGTATAGTAAGCCGAAGTGTGCACATACTACGCATGCTCCACCAAAATATTACCATGCCCCACCGGTGGGGCATGCGCCTCTCCTTGGGAATCATTGGTCTACTTCCTGTAAAGAACACGGAGCATGGCGACAAGTCGGTACAGAAAGAAAGAGCCAAGGGAGATAACTCTGAAATATATTATGTGAGTTGTTTCGCTTTAGGCTGCCTTCAGTCAGACTGTAAAAATATTCTTAAACAAAAGAAAGGGATATTAATTAAAGCATATGTGAATTCTGGTTTGAAAAGTGAAGAATTAATTATTTATGGGGGAGGGAATAGAGAAGAAATGAATCAATCAATGATGTTCGAGTTCACTCGAACTGGTCCATATGAGCTTATAGTAAATTTGAGTTGCCTCCCTTGTTCGAGTGACTGAATCCAAGAAAGACAACTGCTTCTGAATTGTCTAATTCTGCTTTGATGGATGCTGTAGGCAAACCTTATTAGATAGGTGTTCTCATCCAGTTCGAACAGCTTATAACTTGATACGTCCGACAAGAAGCGATACCTCAGAATTAAAATACATTTTAAATAAATGAAAAATATTTCCTAAAGTTTTCATTTTAGTTTTAATTCCAAGTTAATAGATTAAAAATTATATATTCCCAATCATCAAAATCATCACTGTATTTCAAACCGAATTTAAATTGATTGGAATGATTGTTCTATTATCATTAAAATCTATAAAATCGTCTATATTGATAAATCTGTCAACACAACATAATTGATAAATCTGTCAATACAACATAATTCTGTTTATTAAAAAATAAAATATACTTTTCTGAAACGTTATTTGAGAAAAATTACCTGATTTAAAGTTTAATTAATCTGAATTAAAATAAATATTACTTTTTTAGTTTAAAATATTGCAGAAAAGCATTTTAACACAGAAATGATT